TGATATGAAGAATGTAAAATCGGGATTAAATATCTTGAATCTCTACTCATTACTTTTTGCAATTTTCAAAGAATTTGTATATGATTGTTCGTATACGGTAAAATGATTAAATATTTACCTATTTAAGGTTTTAGTTTTTAAATTTCTTTTTTATGGCACGTTATAATACAAGTCAATTCTTAGAGTGGAACCAAATGGGGTCTAACACAGCGGCGGACCAAGCTTTGACGCCATAACGAGTTATTAAAAAACCATACCAATTATTTATGTATTAATATCTCTAGTTCATGTATGATCATATAATATGTTCATCAACTAACTTATCAATTACCAACTACCTTATTTGTAAAATATATACCCTATATTTTGAAAATTCCTATCAAAAAAATATATACCCTATATTTTTTTTAACATGAAAGGATAACGGCAAATGCCGTAAAGCTAGAGTGCCTTTCGAACTGTGCATCTGCTACTTGTATGGATGGCTTAACTGCTTGTACACTCAGCCTACCATTTTTGACTATTTGAACACGATATAACACTTCATCCCTTGTCAAATCTTCATTTTTGTTGAATAAAATTTACCTCTTCTTTTAATTAACATTAAATGAAAATCATAAATATATTACAAATATGTGAGAATTGATATAAAAAAAAATTATGATATTTTTTCATCAAATGCTAGGATTTAAGGTATTGTTTCATATATATTTGTTTCATAATATGAAAAGTTTCACATATATTGTTTCACCTTTTGAATATTTTTTATGTGTATTTTTATTTCAATAGGTGAACCAATTTTTTTCACATGCACTCTTTTGATAAGGTGAACACAGACATGTGAAACAATATCTTAAATTATAGTTTTGATGGAAAAAAATCAGATAAAAGGAAATTTTTTAATCGGTTCTCACGGGTTTCTAACATATTTATGATTCTCATTTGATTATCATATATATATATATATATATATATATATATATATATATTGAACTTGCATGACTTGATCCAATTATCTCTGAAAAAATTCCAAAGACTCAAGTTTTATGGTTAATTAAACTAATCCTACAAGGTTAACATTAATAGTGATCATGTATCACCATACATATTGATCAGGTATCACCATTGTATGGGAGATTTGGTCATTCCATCTAGGGGTGCTTAAAAACCCGACAACCCAATCCAATCTAACGTGAAATAACTTAATCCGAAGCAGTCCGACGTCTAATCGAGTTGTAAAATTTTCAAACCGTAGGTATTGGGTTGATATTGAGTTACTAGTATATGAACCCAACCCAACCCGATGAACCCGATATCTTTTTATTTCTTGGATTTAATATGATTGTTGAATTTATATTAATATATACATTAGACAACTATACTATCACGTACGTTCTTCATATACACATATTTTCCATCTAGTAACATTTCTATATAACTCATTTGTATATATATTCAGTAATTGTGAGAATACATATATATATATATATATACATATATATATATATATATATATAGGGATGTTATTCTACACCCTTTGTCATTCCTACACCCTATACAACCCTCATCTCAACCATTCAATTTTTAATCAATTAATTGTTTCTTAATATAAAATATTAATCATAATTTATAAACTCTATTCATATTCCATAAATATTCAAATCATAATAAATGAACTCCAATCATTTCTATAAATATCTCAATTAATTGGGTTGTAAAGGTTGTACAAATGCACAAGGTTGTAAAAGAAATATACCCTATATATATATATATATGTGTGTGTGTGTGTGTGTGTGTGTGTGCGTAAATTGAGAAAATTAACTGAATGTGATATACGTAAGAAAAATGGATAAGTTGTATCAAATGGTTGATGATGAAAAAGAAATTTTGACACTACAACAAAAAGGGTTTTATAGGACACTTTTTTGGGACATTTTTCGGAAACCGTCCT